ACAACGCCTGGTAGGCGGGACGGAGGTCTATGGCTCTTTTGAGTGTGCGAGTCAGTCTCAAAATAAATCGGTCCATGTCCTCGTTCCTTTTTCTTCCTCTTCTTTGGGAGATGGTGAAAACAATATCACGTTCATATTTATCAAAAGACAAAGTCCCTCGCTAGGCTTTCTTAAAATTCGAATAACGGCCGATCTACAAAGTTTAGGCTGTCAGCGTACAGTCCAGTGGCTTAGGTCGTACCTAGTTTATAATGACCGCTGTATTCTCTTCATTTCTTTGACCGTTTAAGGTATACAAATTAGGGAATTACAGATTATCAATTTTCTTCTATTTCAGTCGCTGCTTATGAAGGTTTGAAACAGTTCTGGACAAGGTGTATGCCTTATCTGCGCAGTACTATGCATGCTCTGTATTTACCTCCGAGAGACCCATATGTTTTATGTCATCCCAACATTCAACTTCATTGCCACTAAAATTAAGAATGGGCTCAAGTCTCCGGGGTTCCAACTCGTGAAATTGAATAAGACTGGCTGCTGACGGCTAACAAGCCAGTAATGCCATTCCGGTCTCCCTTGGCTTTGTCGGATCCATTCTATTATATCCTTGTGGTTGTTATGTGACTGCTTGCGTGGGCTCTAATTGTGAGCTCCAGGGCGAGCCGGAACTAAATTGTCCCTCGACCACATCGGTGATGCCCATATATTCATCACATTCCCGATCTCAACCAACAAAGCAACGGGCCCGTGGGGCAATGATACAGTATTAAACTCATTGACCAAAAGTCCCGAGTCCGAATCTCAGGGGTTCCAACCCTTGAGATTGGGTATGACTGGCTGATGACGGCTAAGAAGCCAGAAATGGTCATTCCGGTCTCCATTGGTTTTATCGGATATAGTCCATAGATGAACGCATTTGAAACACATATTCTATAAAAAGTGTCTAAGAACATTCACTGATAAATAAAGAAATTTGAAAAAGATTTTTGTGTCTGCGTGCGGAAATCAAGCGGCCATCAGTCAGAGGAAAAATAGTACAAATTAACATTTACCTGCACACTAACAGTAGTATAAGCGTGTCATAAAAGTAGCTCCTTATTTGCGAATGCGTATGGCTAGTAAGTGGGTAGCTAGACGAAGGTCGTGTTTGAAGGTCTAATTTTTTTCCGGTTAAACTTTGTTACGCTGCCGAAAATGAGGTAAAAGCAACTGCTTATGAAGGTTTGAAACAATTCTGGCGAAAATGTATGCCTTATCTGCGCATTACTCTATTTCCTCTGTATTTTCTGCGAAAGATCCATCTTTTTATGTTATCTCAACATTTAGTTTCAGTGCCAATAAAATTAAGGAATTCGGTTAACAGATTTTTTAAAAGTTTTGCGGCTCGAAAGCCGCCCACTGCAATGTATATGCCGTTCAAGAAAACTTCATTTCGAACCCGTTATTATTTGTGCCATGGTTATCTGTTATTCTGCACTCACTACTGTAACAAATCATACGTACCTTAAACTGGTCACAACGTTAAGCATCTTAAAATGGGCCACAGTCCGAGGAAGCATTCAGCTGTATCAACTTGGTAGCTCCAAGTGGAAGAATGGAGAAAGGACAGTAATAGTCCTCCCCAGTGAAACAACTTTAAAAAACCATCTTTACGTTTTCTTTAGGCTCAGCACGCACACAGTTCCCCCTTTCAGGGCGTCGTGTGACATGGAGAGGTGACAAGACATTGATGGGCTTTACAGGCTTCTTACGCCAGCCAACAGATTGCACTGCCTAAATATGAATTCCCTTTAGCTAAATATATTTTTAATGTTGAATTTGTCGGTCCATCAGTTCGGAGAATATTCGCTGGAACAGATAGGTTATAAAAGTTACTAGCTCCTATTTCACAGTTATGGAAACAAGACTCCCTGTGTTTATTACTACATTCAAAGTAAGATTATTTTCTAAGAGTTTCCTTTGGTTCATTTGTTTATCTTACTCTCAATTTCACTGCTATACATAGACATTTCTTTGCTTATGCGCTATGAGGCTACACCCTTAAAACCCCCATTACCAACATCACGTTTAACACAATCCCAGAATCAGTGGTGGCTACGAAGGTACAGTGTCTTTGCAGCCTGACTCCCTAAAAGCACATGACGCCACAGACGAGGTCACTGCGCGCATAGATCCTCGCGCGAAGGCAGTTCACGCTGTGCCTCGGGATCTAGGCGCTGGCGAACGTACGCACAGTGCAATCCACAGTAGCTTGACCTCAATCCGTCCAAAGAGATTCCCACGTTAGTAGACTAGCCTCACATAGTAGGTTGGTCTCAATCCAATTAGACACAGATATCAACTCGGTGACTTTCGACACAAATTTCCGCCTATCAATTCTTAATTCCTTCTGTACAGAACATTCTGCTACTACCACTCTGGCTTTCCTCTGACTTTTCTCCTCTCCTAACAAAACGGGCATGGATGATCGTAGACATTAGGTTTAGTCTTATATTACCTCAATTCCTCGATATTGGATTCAATAACCTACCATCGCCCGTTCGTTTAAGCATGGAAAAAGGGAAACTGGATGCTTCAAGGAAAGTAGAGCTTCGAATTAATCTAGTAAGCATATTCGTGTGCATCTTTAGTTTTATAATGTGCCAAACCACATTCGTTGGCCCTCACAATTGGTTTTCCGAATCTAACCGCAGTAAGGTTTACATGGAATTGTTGTTACAGGCGTTTTCAGGGAGTTATAGTTGCTTGCCTTTATGTAAACTTTCATTACGTGTAACTTACAGGCCTAAGGTTGCTTTTCACTCCAGCCCCACAAGGTTTGGCTTCGTATGGATGGGTCTCACGCAGCGTTTCTAGGTGGCGGCCATAAACCTCGCAAAATTGCTTGTTTATACAGAATAAACCTATGCAGCTGGCTTCGCACTTACCCTGTATCTCCTTCAAAGAGGCTTCCAACTTTTCAATGTATTCGTCAACTTGTTTTGCAAGGCCGCTGGTATCTCCACCAACGCTGCTGCCGTCTTGGGTGTCATTCTTGCCGTTCACATGTTTCATGGCTTCATTAATGCTTTCCATTTTTTCGCTTATTTGTTTGAACGTGCTCTGCAATGAAAGAAAAAGATAAGGACTGTCTAAAGGCAAATGAAACATGCATGGAACGCGATTCAAACTCTTTAATAAGACAGTCACAGTTCCTCGGAACGGGAGTCACTGGCGAGCGTCGTAACCTCATGTGGCATTGTAATACTCCGACAGTTAGACGGAAAAAAGACAAAAGATGCCGGTTACTAAGAACAACAACTTTATTCAAGATCTAAAAAAACAGTTGATTTTATATATCGTCAAACCCGGCTTAATTATGAGATTGTAGTCGTTCTCGAACATACCTGTCAATGTTGTGTTGTAGGTTTTCGTACTGCCCTTGTGGAGCGTCTCGAATATTTGGGACGCACGCGTGGGCCGAAGTGGAGTTAATCACTTTTGTCCTACAGTCAGGATGTGTCCAAGCCAATCTTATGCGACTGGGTGCCCTAGTTCTCAGTTGACTTTACGCAAGCCTATGAGCGCGGTGCTGATCATCTTGTCCGATTGTCAATAAATAATAAGTAATTTGTATGTTTAAGGCCCAAGGTGTTAGGGCCCGGCGTAAGTGCAAATCCACGCCGCCCTGACGAGGCACTCCCACGCGAGACCGCCGGTCCGCCCACTCAAGTGCATTGCGTAACGCCGCGCTCAGCAGCCAGCCAAGCGAAAGACTAACACGCCAACAGCATGACTCACCCAGCCAATGAAGTCGTGCCTTACTTGTGACCACCATCTAATTGGTCCAACCT